TAACAGTATATTGAAGAGGGCCAAAAACTGTCATTAGTGTTACCATCCATATCAACGAATCAAGTCTTTCATCAACATTTTTAGTGTATAAAGAAAGGTTGTTGTTTTTTCAGAAGCAAATTTTTAATAATCTAATAACTTTAACACCTGCATCATATCACCTTTTATTTTTTATCCTCAAGAAAACTGTACTTTTAAACCTCACTTAAGGGTTGAGGTTCCTCCTCAAAATCAGTTTAAACTCAGACCGTTGAATTAAATAGACGTTTTTGACAAATTCAACCGTAACTAAGGTCATTTTATCATTTGTAAATTTAAGAAACTTATATATGTCTGTTTGTGTATATATACATGTTACGTATTTATCAACAGGTTTGCATAAATCACAAAGAAAAGGTAAAGAACTCAAAAGCTTCTTATGCAGAACATTAATAGCGAAATTGACTTAATCACAGTACTGGCCATTATGTTAACTCTTTCTAATTGGTTTTATTGGAATTTAAGCGATATATTTTTATACATAAGACACTATTTCATTGATTTTTTTAATTAAAGGAATCTTATTATTAAGGATACTTGTTTGTTTGTGTGTAATTAAGCACAAAGCTACACAACGGGCTATCTGTGCTCTGTACTAAGGATACATCCCATTTTATAACACTTATGGCCCAAGTCCAGAGATGCCACTGGAAGTACTTCCTTCGTAGTCGTTTATACTTAGCCTGTGGCCATAACTGAGCATTATTGTCTGACATCGCAATTTCCATTGTAGGAAGCTTCTGCGAAGGAGGTCGAGGTCAATCTTCGGTAGGCCATAATTTCAACAAATTTTCCATAGATTATCCAAAGGACGTAGAGTCTGTTACCGAATAGGACCGAACGTGGCTGCAGAGTAGTCAATGTGTTGAACTGTGGACCTGTGAGTACATGTCCGTGTTCCATTACCGAAAAAAAAAATAGCGGTCTGCACTTTAAAGTCGTGGCGTTATAAGAATAACTATCAAATCCCACTATTTAGTTAAACAAGAGTAGCCCAAGAGTTGGCGATGGGTGTTATTGACAAGCTGCCTTCCCTCTAGTCTATCAGTTCAAAATTAGGGACAGCTAGCAAAAATAGTTCTTGATAGCTTTGCTCGAGTTTCCATAAACAAACAATCCAAGACCACGTTTAAAGACACTAAAGTACAAAACTTTATTGAGGAACTTGATAGGTAGATGGTCAGTTGGAATTGCTGTGATTCCAGGTTCTTCTGCCATCTCTAATGAATGGTGTCGTTGATTTTATGTTGTGGCTGGAAGGTTGTGAACTTTTGGTTCTTAAAAAGGAAATTAATAAAACTATTTAATATTATTTTCCTCATAGCATTTCACATTTTATACTCACCATTCTATTGCCAGTAAACTAAACTTATCTGTTTCATGTCTTAAGAAAGCTTACATTCTCCCTTTAACTTTGAATGTGGTTTCAGAGCCTGTTGCTGTTCTAAACTTCGCTGTGTGAGTTTTCCCTCTTCTATGAAGAATAATGAATTCTCTCTTTGAAATTTTATGTCCTTTGGATCTATAGTGTTTAAATATTTCTCTTGTGAATATTCTCTTTAAAAACGGTTTCATATTTTTTCCCCTGCCATAAGTATATCCGTGAAAACTTTGCACGTCAAGTAGTCGGGAATTCCCCGTGAGACAACATATACGTACTAAAAGATGTTGATCATGACGTCACAGCTTGAATTTACAACGACATTACTGCATTAATACGTGTCTTGTTTTTATAAAATGCGAATAACCTTCTACATAAACTCATGTCAGTAAAAACAAGCAATATTATGTATTTGTTGAAAAGGCAAAAAAAAAAAGAAGAAATATAAATTGATCTTTATTTAATATAAAATGTTGAAGAAAAATAATTATTTACCACAATTCAAGCTTATTTTGAAAGTTATTGTAAGATTTTAACTTGTCTCAAAGAAATTTGTTTGTAGTTAAGCGCAAAGCTACACAATGGGCTATCTGTGCTCTGTATCGAAACCAGGTTTCTAGTGAATTTCTAATTGTAATTCCTAAGGATACCGCTGTGCCATTGGTGGTCATTAAAGAAATGAAAGTCATAACTATTATATATATGTATAGCATGGAATAATTATTATTTATGTATACCTTGGTGTGGCTGTTATATGTGTATATCTTGGACAACACATCTAAAACGAAGGAAATTGGTAAATGCAACTTAAAGTGAATTTTAATTTATTTATAGGATTTCAAATAATAGATTCACAATTTTAATATCAGAAAACAAAAGTTTTCTGTTGTATGACATGAGAAAAATTAACATTCTGTCCTTAACTCGTTTCAAAGTTGAAACCATACTTAAATTTCTTCAAGCAAACACTGTCAAAGTGAAAATACGATATTTGTATCTAAGTTGTGATGCATAATCAGCAACCTAATAAAATTTTAATAATAAATACGTGAAACTATTTATTAAACGAGGGTTGCAACATAGTCTCTTAACCAACCAAGGAATGAACACGCTATTTTCGGCATTTTTCAGAACCTTCGCTCAGCTCCATTTCCATTAGTAGAGCTAGTTTTGTTTGTTTGTTTTTGAATTTCGCGCAAAGCTACACGAGGGCTATCTGCGCTAGCCGTCCCTAATTTAGCAGTGTAAGACTAGAGAGAAGGCAGTTAGTCATCCCCACCCACCGCCAACTCTTGGGCTACTCTTTTATCAACGAATAGTGGGATTGACCGTCACATTATAACGCCCCCACGGCTGGTGGGACGGGGATTCGAACTCGCGACCTTCAGATTGCCTTGTCGATCGCCTTATCTACCTGGCCATGCCGGGCCAGTAGGGCTAGTAATACGAAACTCACAGTAAAAATATTTTACCCCGAATAATCTGGACATCCACGAGACCGGCTATTTTCGTTTTTTATTGTTGTTGTTGTTGTTTACGTGCGTTTTTCAGAACCTTCACTCAGCTCAATTTCCATTAGTTTGGCTATTAATACGACACTCACAGTAAAAATCTTTCTTTTTTCCCAGAATAATTAGTTCATCTAGGAATCCGGCTATTTCGTACGTAAAATACAGTATCAGCGACATAGAGCTAGGTATAGACGCAGACACAACCATTATATTGTAAACTATGACTATTTTTTAATCACTTTCGGTAAATCAATTAGAGAAAGATGCAAAAAATATGTATTTAACGTTTCTTCTAAATATAAATAGATCTCATTCATCTGTCTTCGCAGCACAGATCAATGTTGAAACCATTCAAAACCTTATATTAAATGACCAACGATAGTTTGCAAGTCGAAAGTCATTCATCCTTCACAATAAAATTTAAAAAGTTCTAAACAAGACAAAGTCAACCGTTTGTTCGACTGCAATTATATATCATACTTAAGCCTGAAAAATATATATTTATATGGAAAAAACAAACTATATTCTGATGACTAGATTAATACATAATATTGTTTTAAGGTAATCGGTGTAATGTTTTGGGATGCTTTTACCAAAAGAATATGCATGTCATGCAACTCTAAGCCTTATTCTATATTTAGAATTATCTAAAAACAATGAAAGACATCGGTGAAGAAAAAGGATGCCATTTCCTACATATTTAAAGAAGTTCACCTTTTTTGTTCTCTTTCTATTTTTACTGTGCCTATACTTTTCTGTTTCCTTCACCAAGTATATCATAAATAGAATAAATGTTTTGCAGTTGTTTCTCAATAAAGAATTTAAGTTAGTATACACAAGAAAATATTAGCTTTAATAATATGAAGATTCCATTAACGAACCATATGAGGAAACCCCTCCAGGAGTAAAGACCTAACACCGGTGCCTCCTACACATGCGAATCTACGGATATACTTCATTAAAAGGCTTTATAAAATTATCCTTACGAAATCGAAAATATTGTATACAATCTCTTAGTAATAAGCCTAGGAGTATAAGAAAATAAACAAAAAACATTAATTCTAAACATCGCTGAATTTTATTTATATTCGAGTAAGATTTTATGTTAGCTGTGAGTTATAAGGTGTTATTTTCAGTGTAAGTCTACGGATTTA